CTCTCGAAACAGTTTGCGATGCCATTTGTAAGCAATATTGCTGTGGTGCTGGATATGATGCCAACGAGGCTGCATAGTAAATAAAATTAATATTGCAGTCTGTTTCTTCTCGGCTTCAGAATGTTTCTTGCCTGCTTTCTAGCCGCCCAAAACATAGGCCGAAATGTACGTCTTGTATGTTTTGACATCTCGTCCAAGGTCTTCCCAATCGACTAACCGAAGTGAACGTTGTCGTGCATTCCCGACACTACTGGATCTGCTAGTTCTATCAACCGTCTTTTCTACTTGCACTTGAAAAAACATAGTCGTGATGTTAAAGTTTTACTGCTGGGCTGATAGTGCCGCACTGCCTGATCCATGATGATTCACACGAGAAGCACAGGAATGAACAAAGTGTGACTAAAAAAGGAAACCGCCGAAAACTGCACTGTAGCGAGACTGGCCTAGATTGACATTCAACCTTCTGTCCTCCACATAAATACCCCTTGTCACATGACCCCACATACCATACCCGTCTGTTTGCCATCTCGCACAGACAATAGTTACCCGCTATACTGCGAAACGCGGTTAACAATATCTATCCTCGGGGTGGAGCTACGTCACAAGACGTTCCACGTTGCTAAGACGCGCACTACTGTACCACGTATTTCTATGGACTCTGTGCGAACGCCAGTCGAAGGGCCGATGACAATAGCTAAATTCAAAAAAACAACACAAACTCAATTTTGAAGTTATCCTGAACTGTTTTACAACCAAATTTAAATGCGTTACACACGCATGGGGTAATCTTGTTACACTGTTCAGGGGAATCTCAACAATCATTCCAAAGTACCGTTTTCTGAGAGTTTTCAGCCTTTGTTTTCACCGTGACGGTTGCCAGGCGGTGAAAATGCCCGGATGTCCGTCCCGAGAATACATCAAAATGGTATAGACGACTTGAATGGCTCACGTGTCTCGCGAATACGTCATAAAATGGCGCCGTCACTAGAGGGTGCGATTTATCTATTCGTTTTCAATACACACAGCAATATTCGTTAAACCACAGTCCCTCTATCCCAGGTTAGACTAACTAAAAATTCTAATATTCACGTGCAGTGATTTTTATTGTACGTACCAAAATAACAGGTGCACATGCGTAATTCATTCAAGTTCTTTCATTGAACAAAAACTCAGATGTATGCAACAAGAACAGCCTTTTCATTTCACGATAAATATACTTTAAAGTCCCATGTATTCATCGACGTAAAGTATCAAACAATATTAAAAATGACATAGTCTCCTCTATATTGCACATTTGTAACTTCGCACCTGCAAAATTACAAATGTGTTTCGACGTGTCTAAAATGATAAACAAACTGTCAAGTAAACTTATATTTGAGATCCCTATATCCCCACACTAAATTTATTTTCAGAGGCAAATACTTTGCCAAAGAGTAATTTGCGGTGAATGTGTATTGCTCAGTATAATCATGATTTACTAGTAATATACTGACCTTATAAGTAGCGCCCCCTATCGACGAAGCGATTATGTGTCTTAAATAGAAGAAAAGCCGTTCACAGCGTCGACGCTGTCGTCCGGCAATTTACTATATTCCCAAAGACGAGCGACTACACAACCAAACAAGGTCATTTTGACGTCACGTCCCACAATCGTTCCGTCGGGGTGTATTGCGGATTCCGTCAGAGTCATTTGTTCAATTCTGTTAAATACATCTCGTTTTCAATGCTTACAGTAAGAACGACGTCATCACAGGCAGGCATGGCAGTTATCGCAATTATGTTGTCGTATTTCATCGAGAAAGGACATCACTGACAACTTTGCAATCATGATTCTACTGTTCCATTGTCTTGCTAGATATATTCATGACTTTTCTCGTGTTCCGTTGTGTGCGCTCAAGGAACAATATATTATAAATAGCTATACAATTTAATTTGCTTATAATGATAATTGCTACATCCATGTGAATTGAACTCTCGCGACACTACTCTGTCATCCCAGAATAATTCGGCATTAAAGAGCAGTAGCTTCCGAATTTTACACACCACAACAAGAAAAGTTATGTCAACTAATTCGATGTTATTTCGTTATTACGCAGCATACATACATTTGTAGACAGTTGTGTACAAAATACCGCTTTTGAAGAGAGACAGTCACGATTTTGGTCATGATCGTAAATTAAAGTTCCTCGCTTTCCAAGTTATGCACTTTTTAAATTTACCAACACTGAATTAAAGGCTTTACGTTTTCGACATTGTGAAATTCGTTTTTATGCTTTATGCAGAAAAATACAGTATTTTTACATAGTAAAATCATATTTATTAAAGTTATTGTTCATATACGAGTTGTAGAACACACTACATAGTTTGTAATTTCATTCAGCTTCTTTCAGTCATAATTCAAGACAAATAAAATGCAAATATATAGAGAATATAGAAAATATTTTGTTTTCTGTAATATTTTATGTAATCGGTAATTATGAAAATTATTTATGGGTGCGTAGAAAATACACTTCGTTATAAATTATTCTTAATTTAAATTTCTGAATTATCTTGTCAAGTTTTCAGGGTGTTTTCTCCTAAAAAAACGAAAGAGTTTCCCAATGTCCGAGTCGAAAACGGAGTCTTCATCGTAGTGATTTGCCGTACAGTTCAAGTTGACGCTAATACCCGAGTCCGAATATCACATGGGCTCACACACGTATGTGCATACCATTATACGACTCACAACCACATTCGAGAACCAGACATTATGTTTAAACATAACGAACTCAGTACAAAGCCACTCGTTGCCAATATGTTTGCGAGTTCCCGGGCCCCAGATATGTTGTTGGATTACGTTATCGCCGACTCGTTGCACGTGACACAGGTTCATGGATACAATGTACATGTACTCAATCTCACGCTTGTAAGCGATAACACATTTCTCACGGTGTTTCAAACAGTAATTTGTCAAAAAGTGGTGTAATATATTTATACTATTTCAGTGATTATTACTAGCTGTGAACAAGAATGCCAAAATAACGGATTGTATGACGTACGGGGACGAAAATTACCACGTGACTCACAACACGCCGTAGTCTATTCCCCATATCAAATGTCAATCTGATACTGAAGGTCAGTCTGATATTGGCAAATAGAAGCCAGATATTTATAAACACATTGGGTAGCTACACTTCTGGTCTGGTGCCTTTTTAAATAGTGCACAGCATATTCTTTACTGCAGTGGACCAGTGACTCCGATATAGACGAGTTCGCAACAATGCAGACAATTCATCAAACGTCACACATGCGATCTTTAGACAATAATATATTAGCAAACTTGTTTAGACAAGAGTGTGCGTCATCAGCAATTACGGTTTATTAATTATAACTTCCGCATCTCAAGCTAGAATATAATTAAGCTAGAATATAATTCTATGTAAAATAGGTAAAATGACAATATTTATAATTTTTGAGTTACTCACAACGTGTCAAGATTAATCGCAATAGACATGTCTCTCTCGATGACAATAACATTATAATATCAAATCTCCAATGTTCCAAATTTGTTTGAAAACGAGAGAGTAAAAGAAAAAGAGAGAGAGAGAGATCCAATCATTAGAAATAGTGTTCTTTATTATGTCCGACTATGTGGTCTAATTAACAACAATTTAAAACCAATCAGAAAGAACAACGAACTGATTTGATTGTATGATTTCCATTCACCAATTCATAACAAAAATTATAGAAGAAACAAGGTCACTGTAGTGGAGAAATTAGATTTTGCAACAAATTGAAAGTAATTACAATTGTACTTCGATATGAACGCACTTAGTACTATGTAGTTCTTAAAATCACACTACAATATTAATTTAAGTCTAGGAAAGCGACATGTTGGCAGACACAGCTCAACGTCCATTGCGGGGGGGGGGGGATTAAATGTCAAAATGAATGCACGAAATGTCAGCCACCTAATAAAGATATAGGGATTTTATGAGTTTTTATCACGCTCCACTGTTTATTGTTACACTAATTCTATTGCAAGGAAGATGCCGGGTGTTTGTTTGTGTCCGGCTACTTACTTTACTCAGGTTACATAAGTATAATGACAACCATTGGCCTCTCATCCTAAGCAACATCGTCATGACCGGCAATTATTTTTGTCTGGGTTTAGAAATTGAGAATAGATAGTCTTATGCCGGAAAGACGTTTTTGTGCGATAGACACCTTTGCAACTACATAATTTCAAACGCGGTTGCCAAGAAACGGCGGTGATATTGTATTGTCAATGAATGTTGAATTAGCGAGGATGATCGCGAGCTAAGAGTGCCGTGTAGTTATGGTTCTGTGAAGACTGTGTGCCCACGTCTCTGTGTAGATTGGTCGCTTTGACGACGAAAAAGATGCAAGATAATACTCTCAGAATTCCGTTTAAACGCATATATCGTATATGAACAACACTGGACTCAGTTTCATGGGATAGATGTAGATTATGCATAACCAATATCTCCTTCTCTTTAAATTAATAGTTCGATCATCGTATATGTTTTTGTTTTTTTTTAATTTGGGGAGGGGCAACATCATAACTTTTTCATATATCCCATTTAATTGAGGATAGGAAAGGTGTAATATTCAGCTTTGTTAATTTCGTTGATCACTTTCGGTGTCGATTTGCTGAAAATACAGCTGATGTAACCTTATAACGTTGTCTACGCGTGAAACAGATCAAATCTGGACAGCATGGTGTAGACGTTAAAGATATTTTCAACCCCAGCTGCGTTTTTTATCTGTGGATTTTCAGTGATTTGCTGCGAATCCCAATAAAATTTACCGCCTGAATAAAATTACAGAATCATTTCAACACCATCACAGCCGTTATCCGACATCGGTGGCTGTTCTTATTGTGAGTTTACTTACTTCTTTGTCTGAATCCGGCGATTCATGAATATTCATGAGATGAAAATGACGTAGTGCAAACCAATATTTATACCCCGTTGTCCCCTGGATTGTAAATGGAACACGTCCCATAACCTACATACGCTGTTCCTATCAAGTCCACATTACCCGGCACTCCGTCATCTCCTGTATACAAGATCAGATGTTATTTAGTGGCAGTATAGCGGAGTTGAGTAAGTACAACATTATACAAAGCGCCGATATTTCGTCTCGTCCCGGCAGTCATTAGGCCACTGGAATACGAGGGATGGGAATGTTTTTTTTTGGGTTGCTTACTTGAACAAAAATCGGTATGTCGAGATAATGTCTAATATATACGTGAATATTTGAACCGGTTGTCATTATTGGGCATGGTTCAGTCACGTCATCGAGCGCTGTTTTGTTTTTTTATTACTGAGACGTTTTCACTTATCACATTGCCGTGCTGAACTGGCTGTGCCTCATTCGACAGCGCTCTGGGTGTAGAACACGGAGTAGCATCTAGGTACATGCTGCCATTACTTTAACACGAGTTTAAACTATGTGGATAAACACGGACAGAATGTTTTAATGGGAGAAGTATCTTGTTTAACGTAAATGATAGGAACGCTAGCCCGTAAACCGACACTTGCGGCGTTATTTTCGAGACAAGTTCTTAGGATTTCTTAGGATCCAGAGTCGTATTGGTTTCAGAATTACGCATACGATATGTACACTTGATTGAATTCAATTCATTGAAAGCTTTTTTTAAATTGATAATATCGGCAAAGCTGTCTGTACTGTCTGTGAGAGGGGGGAGGGAGGGGAAGGGGAAAGGTTGACGCTGGCATAGTTACAACAAGCAACATGAGCCTGAGAAGATGAAACCGTTAATAACATTATATGCGTAACTATGATAACCTATTGTTTTAGCTGCAGTAACATTTTGCAGTATTTGATTCACACCACGCAATATCCTATGACCCCATGTTATTTTTTGACCCCGGTGTTATTTTTTGACCCTGGGTCAAAACACAACGTCACACGGAGAACAATTCTGAATCCAAAAATAGCGTCACTTTTCTGAAACATTGTCACGTAATTATTTTGTAGTAGCAAACGTGATCATAATCGAAATAATTGTTGCGACTCAAGATAGTTTGCTCGCTAAAAGAAGTGAAAGACGGGAGACGTCTTTTCCACTTTAAAACGCCACCCATGGCAACAGCCTCTGGCGATAGCTTTCTCCAATGTCGACATTATAGTTATGCACGCATAATGTAATATTGTAGATTCAAAATTATTTTGTGCTGTGCCAGAAATCCGAGAATGTTTGATATTCGCTAGTTTGAGTTTTATTTTGAGTCAGTGTAAGGTGATTTTCCGTTCACTGCGAGATCTCGTGCATGGTGTGAAAGACGCGTACCAAACGTGTACCACAAAAATCAAATGATTTAATTTCGAATTTCAATTTCTTTTGATACAGCTCAATATGGAAATGTCAATCTTTCAGATGGGAATATAGATTTAAAGATATCATTACTTCATTAAAACGATCACCATCAAATGTATTTAGCACATTTTTGAGCGTGGAATTACCCCCAATACTTACACGTTTGTAAAATTTCTCGCAATGTTCTGACGCCACTATGACATTTGTTAGTTATGTTTTTACGTTCGATTTTACGAATAACGCGGGATCTCGCAGTGAACGGAAAGGGTATTTTCAGCAATCTCCGCATCAAATTTGTAATGCAATCGAACCATATTAACACTGCACTCTACTTCTTACTATACCACACGCTATCGCCGGTATTATCCGTAGATAACCCCTACCTTGCCAATAATCCCTCTCAGCGACGCAACTATCTTTTTCTTCTTCGTCTAAATTGTTATTATTTATTTAAATTGAATTTTAGCACGTCCGTTGCGTTAAAATATCTACAACTGACTGGCAGTGCGCATTTTAAATTATAATTACATCAAAACTCGTCGCTTGTCAGCGACATGTCATAATTAAACATACACCTGTCAGCAATGTACCTTAACCGTAAAGCATTGTGGGTATTATACTTTATTAAAAATCCCAATTGCAAATAAGGAACGATATTTCCAAGATGACATACAAATGTATAGTACCTTGTTAGGGACTGAAAATTCCAAATAAGTAAATATAACGTGACATTTCCCAGATGACATACAAATGTATAGTACCTTATTAGGAACTGAAAATTCCAAATAAGGAAATATATCGTGACATTTCCCAGATGACAGACAAGTGTATAGTACCTTATTAGGAACTGCAAATTCCAAATAAGGAAATATAACGTGACATTTCCCAGATGACAGACAAGTGTATAGTATATTATTAGGAACCGAAAATAAGGAGATATGATGTATTATTTTCTAAGATAAGAGACAGATGTATTCTACTTTATTAGGAATTGCGAATTCTAAATAAAGAATGATTATGCAATATTTCGAACAAGTTCTTATTACGGGTACATTCACTAGCTGTCACCATCTTGCACAGTTCAGTAATTATCATACAAAGCTGTTGGATCAGGAAGGTCATATGGTTATTTAGAGAATACAGCGACAGTACTATTCGTGGATACTTGCGGTATTTCCGCAATATCCTCATAATATCTTAATTTCAAAGACTAATTCGCCTTAGTATGCGTATCAAATTTGAAAAGCGCCCTCACAGCTGATACGTTTATATGGACACTTCTGTTTTCACTTAAATTTTTGTAGTTTTATTCGTAATCAATTATTTAAAATAAACAGCAGGTGCAGCTTTTTGTTGCCAGGATACCAAACCCTGCAAGATATGAAAGACTACGTTCAGACTTGAAAGGTTTCAGATTGAGTTAAAATCAAACAATGTCGTGGATTGATATGCAATTAAGACACAATGCACCGTGCTAAGTATTCAGGGAGAGTAACTAGACTGACCATTCAGGCCAGTAATGAGCCGCGTCTCTTTTCCCATTTGCATTTATGTAATACTGAGACAACATGACATTTACGGTACATTAAACACAATGTTAGGATGTGGAAATGAATTAGACAAAACAAAAAAACAAACAAAAAAAAACACACACAAAAAACAATAATGAATCCACAAACATAGTTTTGGCTTAGTACTATGGAAAAAATGACACTCTTCTATCTGTTTGTTATGTGTTGTGATAATCAGATGTGGCAAGTACATTTATAACAACAAAATGTAAAATTCAACATAATTTGACGACTACTGATAGTTTAATCTGACTCAGAGCTTCACAAACCGACCCCACTCATGTTTATTCAAAATTACAGTTTTTCTGAAGTTTTAAACTCAGGCGATAATCATTGTTAGTTTAAGTTGGTGGCGGATTTCGCGTTTCCCGTGTTTTTTTATCGTCATCACGCACTCTGCTCCCTTGACCAAAGTAACTATGACGTCACATGAGACGCGATAACGAGAGAGGATTTCTATTTGATGGCAAAACATCTTCTCGCGACATTCTCGCTCCCAACGAGATGTCAGCGACCATTTGCGTCTAAAGTATATTACTAGATTTTTTAAAGATTTTTTTTCTTTGTTATATTTTTTTATTCGTGTATATATGAAAGAAACAATGTCAGGCGAGATGACGAGGTTTTTATTCAATAAAATCAATATTATTACACACAAATTCAAGGTCGCTCACACCGTTGCATTACTGTAACGTAATTATCGAGTTAATGAACTCTTTTGCTGTTGGTTTGAGAGTAATTATATTGCCTGTTAATTCCAAATTAATCGAAGTTATTTTTGCCAGGTGACAATTCCAGACATTGAAGTCACTGCTGTGTCTTATGTTTTTTTTTGTTTTTTTTGCGCTGATTGCAAGTGCTTGTGCGAACCAGTATTTACGACCATATTAACTTATGTTTTGAAGTGCAGCACAGGCAGACTGCATTATGACCTTGTTTGCCGTGTAAACAGCCGGCTCCGGGAATTGAACCCATACGAATTTTGTCTTGTGCCGTTTTGGTTGCGCCGAGTGTAGATTTCAGGTACGCGTGATATTGCGTCCGATTTCGTTATCGACTCCCAAGTTCGTTCGAAGACGACGACGACGACGCGCACACATACTCAAATTGGCTTTAAGCGACTTCGTAAAATTTCGCTTTCAATATTTTAATTTTTACAACCCAGTTCGTGGTATGATAGATATACATTTGACGTACAAATGTAGATGTTATATTCAGCACGAGTAGTGATGTACTTGGAAGACACAGAATGCAAATAATGTATCACAGAATATTTACACGCTTAAAAATGAAATTCATTCTGCGGAGACAATGTTTTAAAACTGTTACATATATAATCAGGTCTCCTGTAATGTAGGTCATTGCCCTATGAACGCCATTACATCGGTCTAGCTAATAATTTCATATTTTTTTTGGAGATTTGGATCAAATTAAACATATTTTTTTTAGAGATTTGGATCAAATTAAATATGTCATTTTCTTCCTAATTTTGTTTAGTACATGATATTGAGATACAAACAAAATGAAAATAAAATTGGGCTTATCGGATAAGAAAGCCGTCCAAAATGTAATGAAAACAGTTAAAATTAGCATTTTCTTTATTTTGTTTGGATTCTATTTAGTAAAAGTATTTATTCAGAACATTGTGTTCGATGACATGGGCCGAAAAAAATAATATATAGGTTTGGGTATGAATGAAAATACTGTTTACAACATTTAATTAGGTTCCCAATGTAATAACATTCACCCATTTTCAAGTTTTATTTTAAACCACAGATTGAAAAATGACACCATGAGTTCTCCATACCAATATAATGCATAACCGACATACAACACTGAATCTTTCCCTGTTTATTTATCAACATTTAGTCGACATATTCTTCATATATATTGCAATGAAAGACCAGAGAGACCATGACCAACATGTTAGTAATTGACTATTTTAAGTTAAAATAAAACACATCTCATTCCAACCTCGCCTGTTTGTATGTTTATGCATGGAAGGTACTAACCGTTAGTACATTCCATGGTTCATGTGTAGTGTTTGTTGCTTTTCACACGTAGTTCGGTATCAGAAGCGAAAATGCACATTCAACTTGAAGTTCATCAATTCATTATTGTTCCAATACACATACACCATTGGGAAATGTTAACCGTTACAACAACCTTATTGACATGACGACCATTCATG